TCAGTGAAGGGTCTGTAAAGCAGTGTTCCTATGACTTTAAAAACATGCTTGGTGAATTAAGCTGAACCTTGAGCATGTACGTCTGGAAAGCCTTTTGTGTCGTAAGAAAGTTTATTCAAGAATGCTTGTTGGGGAGATATCTCTGGAACGATGGTTCCCCCCTCTAGTTTCTCATGAAACATGTTGACCTCCTAACTAGACACAGCATGGAGATAATGTTGATGTGCTCATCTTATTTTGCTGAATTGTTATATTCTAGCCATATTGTTATTATTCAGTGTTCTGTAAACATTTGACTATGATTCACACAAGTATGAGAAGTCATTTTATTTTTGTTCAGTCTGTAGACATGTGACTGTGATTCTCATGAGTATGCGAATAAAAGCAGAGCTGCTGGTACAGTCAGCTCTCGGGTGCGTGGAAGCCTGTTTTTTTTTTTCAGTTCCATGGTAATCCGTTCAGTCCTGTGGCTGCCCCTGGTAGCCACATTTCAGAAAATCCTTGCCATATTCCCATGTCCTAAAATTGATGCCCCCTGATTTCCTCCAGTGTATATAGTGAACCCTCTACTTTCTGGTAGAGATTGTTCCAAAGCCATGAAAATACAGAGTAATAACTGCTTATTTATTGAAAAATTGAAAAATACAAGTTGAAACAGGTGTCATATCCTCAATGATGTCACACCTGCAAGTTCATGGGCTGCTGAGAACATCCTGTCTACTGGAGGAATTTTACTTTATTTCTAAGGTGCTAAAATAACTTTTAAACATTATACATTTTAATGCTTCATTAAAAACACAATTGCTTGATTGATTGATTGAGCGCACATCTGCCGTAGCATGTGTGTGGAGGTCAGAGGACAACCTGTGGGAGTCAGTTCTTTCCATCCACCAAGTAGATTCTGAGGGTCGGACTTGGGTAGCCAGGCTTGGTGGCAAATGTCTTTACCCATCAAGACATCTTGCTGGTCCTAAACGTTATACTTTTTCTTTTTCCAGCTTCATGTACATGTGTGCATACATGTACATACACATACATACATACATGTATACATGTGTATGCACACATGTATGTGTGTACATGTATGTGTGGTTATACATGTATGTGTGTGGGTATGCATATGGAGGCCTGAGATTAAAGTCAGGATCATCGATTACTCTTTTACATTATTGAGGCAGGGCCTCTCAGTCAAACCCAGAGCTTTCTGATATGACAAGTTGTATCATAGCCAGCTTGCATCAGGGATCTTCTGTCTCTGCCTTCTAAAGCTGGAATTACAAGTAGGCCACCAACCCCATCTTGCATTTATGTGGGTTCTGGGGATCTGAGCTTAGGTCCTCAAGGTTGTACAGCAAGGATTTAGTCCCTGAGCGTTATATTTAATACCAGTTTTCACTCAAAGCAATGCATATTCTTTTTCATCAGTGAGTTATATACAAGGGGTGCTATAAAGTAAGTATCAAAATCACACAGCAACTTGACTGCTGTTGTGGTATGAGAGCAAACACAGAGAAGACACGTGAGTGGGTGTGTCTGTGATCCGCTAAACCTTTACTATTGGCACTACCATGAAAATTTCAGATAATTTTTATTTGTCACAAAATGTTTTTTTGATTTCCCACCATTTAAAACTATAAAAATGGGGGCTAGAGAAATGGCTCAGTGGTTCAGAGCACTGGCTGCTCTTGCAGAGGACCCAATTTTGATTCCCAGCACCCATATGGCAACTAACAATTGTCTGTAACTCCAGTTCCAAGGAATTCGATGCCCTCTTCTGACCTCCATGGGTATTGCATGACACTGGTGCACTTTCATACATGCGGACAATACACTCATATAATAAAATGAAAATGACAAGTAAAATATCAAAAAAAATAAAACTATAAGCTCCTAGCTCATGGTCTGAATAAAAACAAGTAGCATACTGTATTTGCTTCTAGCCATAGTTGGCTGACTGTGGCAGGTTGTTAAACCCTGTATTCTGTATTAGTGTGGGAACAATTGGAAACATAATATTTCTGTTCCCAGTACTTTTGTACTGGTTACCCAGAGTGGGAAAGCCTAGTGTAATTTATGGGGTATTTGAGGAACAGGAAGTAGCAAAGTGGGCATAGAGGAGGAACATGGAGGGTCAGGGTGTCAGTCCTGGAGTAGAATTAATCTCTGTGAGGTACCAGTCTGTTAATTCCATTTATCATCAAGGATTGATGAGTAACCACCATCGTTTTACACTGTACTACTTTCCCTTAGGTACAAAGTGGTCTGAAGGTTGGTCTTTGTTCTAGAAAGGTAGGAAAGATAGTTTTAAATACCTCTTAGGTAAATGGAAATGAATTACTAGATTTGGAGGTACGTTTTTCTGGCAAATGCAATCCTTTCTTACTAATTGCTAATGGATTTGTGAGAGAGTATTATTTACTTTCTCACAGTATTTTAGGTACCAACAGGGAACGGTCATCCCTGGCTCGATCACTATTTGACTTTATATCTTGACTTTATAATGAAAACTGGTTTGTTTTCTTCTTTCTTCCTTAAAATAAGAATGCATGATTTTCACCAGCCATAGAGCTTATTTATAGATAATGAATGCATGATCCCAGAGCATTTTGAGATTTGTAAATAAAAATATCCATATAAAATGTTTATAATGAAGCACTCAGTTCTAGTGTTTGTAAAATGTAGAGTCTTACAGAACAACTGTGTTTATTGGGAGTAATTTAAAACTCTGGAGCATTTGGCATTCTTAGGACATGGAAAGCTTCTACAAATGCTTTCTAGTTATATCAGAAAGCATTTCTGCTTTCTTTGGAGAAAAATTAATAAATCACTTGAATGTTAAAAACTGCCTATTTTCTGTGTAAACAAACTTCTCATGTTTGTCTTTGGTGTTAATGCAAGTAGATGGTTAAAATGTAGTCTGCCTTGGGTACCCAAGGTGGCTTGGCTTCAGGCCTTGTGTACTGGAAACCCTACAGAAGGAAAGGAGAGGAAATGGAGGTGGAGGTACATAAGGGGGCAGGTGGATTAGCTCCTGGAGCATGTTAATCTGTTGGAGGCCCTGGTTTGTCAGTTCCACTTGCCAAGCATTTATTGAAGACTCATTGTTGACAGTGTTCTGGGTCTTTATTGAAGACTCATTGTTGACAGAGTACTGGGTCTTATTGAAGACTCATTGTTGACAGAGTACTGGGTCTTATTGAAGACTCATTGTTAACAGAGTACTGGGTCTTATTGAAGACTCATTGTTGACAGAGTACTGGGTCTTATTGAAGACTCATTGTTGACAGTGTGCTGGATCTTTATTGAAGGCTCATTGTTGACAGTGTGCTGGGTCTTACAGATAATAAGTAGCATATACCTTTGTCTTTTGCCTGGAAAAGGTAGCAAAGACAGAAAATCATTAGTGGACTAAAAGTTACTAAAAAGCTTATGATTTAGCAATGTGAATATGCTTAAAATTATGCTATGATTTAGCAATGTGAATATGCTCAAAATTATTTAGGAACAAACTATTGGCTGTCACCACATTCTTGGTTTCCTAGATGGACAAGAAGGGGTGCTTTTTCACACAAAAGAAGTAAACTGTACAGTAAATTTACAAATATTATGAAAAGTTGGAGAAGAAGCATAGGGCCAGAAGATGAGTATAGACTCTAGACTATTGTGTAGGATTAGAGTTGTTTATGTATGAAGTGTGTGTAGCAATATTCTTTTAAATACTACATTTTATTAATTAATGTTAATGAATTCATTGAGGGAGCAAAGTCGTGATAGTCTTTAATCTCCATTAAGTCTTGAGGGGGAAAAATAAGTTCCTATAAGACTAATAATAGGAATATATTTTATTTCTTCAACAGGGGAGCTATTAAGTGGAATTGAAATTGATTTTTATATTTCATTCTGATTTAAGAAGAAAATTGAAATGTGAATAATTTGATTGGCCTTAGTTCCCATTGATCTTTAATGAATTTATTATCTAATGTTCCTTATTGATTCTTCATAATAACACTCCGCTTTCATCCTGGAAAGAGTTATTCTATATTGTGCCAGGAATAGATTTGGCCAAAATTTTATAGGAAAGGTAATGTATTCAAGTATATGAGTTGTGACAATGTCTGGAAGAGTCAGAGGAGTGAAAGGCATTTGAAAGGTTAGTAGACAGAAATACAGGTATCGTTGTAATAGCCAATTTAAAAAGTTTGCTTTGTCATTTAGTTATCTTAGTTTGCAAACCTCTTAAGTTTATGAAACAAGTATAAGTGCTGGATACTCTACAATACCTGGTGGACTGTTGGCACTTTATCATCTTTTAAAAATGTTCAGATGAGCTGGGCATGGTGGCGCACGCCTTTAATCCCAGCACTTGGGAGGCAGAGGCAGGTGGATCTCAGTGAGTTCAAGGCCAGCCTGGTCTACGTAGTGAGTTCCAGAACAGCTGGGGCTACAGAGAGACCCTGTCTAAAAAAAAAAAAAAAAAAAAAAAAAAAAGTTCCGAGGAAAAGTATTTGAACTGGGCCTAGTGACACAGGCCTGGAATCTTGGCCATTTGGGAGGCAAGGCAGGAGGATTGCAAATTTAAGGCCAGCTTGAAATGCAGAGTGAATTCAAGGCCACCTTGAGTAATTTACTAAGAATATATCTCAGAATTAAAAAAAAAAAGATGGCTGGGATGTAGCCCATTGGTAGAGTGCTTACCTAGCATGCATGAGGCCTTAAGCTCAATCTCCAGTGTATCAAATTAAAAACAAAAACAAAAAATGATCTGAAGGTTGTTTTCCGTGATTGAATTTTTTAAATACTAAAATGAATGTTGGGTTTCTTCCCCACTGTCTTTCTGTTATGGTCATTTTACAGTGTGGCGGGAGATAAAAATCCAAGAGATGACAATGATCTGTAGTGTAGTGTGAAAACTGGCATCCTTCCTGTGCTTTTTTGTTGTTACGTATAGGCATTTAACATTCTTCACAGTTATTTCAAGAATTACCTAAATCATTCCATAGGATGAAGACCAGCGAGAAGTGGTCCTTGTCAGGACAGATGACTCCGGCAGAGCGTGGCCTTTGAACACCCCGGGAGACGCTCCGGAATTTCAAGCGGGAAGGAGGAGGAGACAGAAGGTTTGCCTAGAAAATGTCTTCGTTTACTACTTCAGAATTCTTGTTTTCTCTTTTGGGTTCTTTTTATCCTAGATGTTTTTCTGAAATGTAGCTTTCTAATGCAAGCATTAGAAAATAATAAGTGATCACTTTGCTCTTAGTTGTATGGCAGATATTTCAACTGTGTTGTTTTCGAATGATTATGGACGTTGAATGTTTACAGCAACTTTAACTTCAGTGTACATTTCTCTGATGATGTTTTAGTTTCTTTTTGCATATTTACCTTCTTGCATATGGAAAAGTTTGGTCATCTATGTTAGGCACCCGACTGGAGGCTTGGTGATGGGTATCCACACTCTGCTGTCTTAATTATGTAGGTGCTATGAGGCTTTAAACACTTAACTTTCTTTCCCATCTTTCAGCTCTGGTAATTGGTCTTTAGCACTATCTTGAGTCTCGTAAGATGGCAAAAACAACATGTTCAATTTCCCTAAGTTGTTTTTTGTTTTAAATTTGAAGATCATACAAATGATAGTTGAGTACACTGAAGAATTGTTTGGAATTTTCCAGTCAAACACTGGTTATTTGCCCATTGAGTGCCCATCCTCTTACAGATACTCATTAATTCTTCAAACAAATAGAAATGAGATACTTGTAATGTAATGGGAGGAATGAAGGGGCTGGAGAGATGTGTAGAAGAGTAAAGGTTTTAATATATGAAATGACAGAACTAACTAGGAATCCATAAACACATTGCCAAATTCCACAGAGGCCCTTTCTGAGTTGCACACTGCCCTGCAATCTAGATATGAGACTAAAGACAGCAGGCATAGTTGTTCAAGACTGGGATTTGTGATCTGAGCATAATGAAATGGCAAGAAGGCCAGATATTAAGTATGGCAGAGCAGGAGGTTATGGCAGATGAGGTTCAGGCTATCCCAGAGCCATAGCATGGCTGGAATAGATGGCGGGACCCTGGTTCCAACCCACTCAAAGATGTTGAAGGACAGGCTTTGTTTGGATGCAGAATATCAGAGCAGCCTTGGGAGATTTGATTTTGGACAACATAAAAAGCACTTTCTGATTCTCATGTTGGTACAGGACCGTCTCAGAGGAAAACCCAGGGCTGACTTAGATGGTGATTGGAATACCAGCTTTGCTTCCAATATAGCTGTTTGTAGAATGAATTAATGGTTAGGAGTGAGGATCTTATTAGTCTCATTGCTAAAACAACATAACAGATTGGTGGCTTAAATAACAGAGATTTATTCTTACAGTTGGAGGGTGGAAGTCCACATGAAGGCACTGGGTGGTTCAGTGTCTGGCGAGGACATGTGTCTGTGTTTGCAGATGGTGTTTTCTCATTTTATCCTCATGTAGTAGAGTGCAGAGAAACAAGAGGCTCCACTCTGTCTTTTTATGGAATATTGATCCTGTTCATAAGGGCTCCACCCTTATGCCCTTATCACCTCCCCAAGGACCTCACCTGCCAGCTCCATCATACTGGGATTTCATTATGGATTGGGGTAGAGGTACAAAGATTCAGTCACAGCAGTGACCCTTTACCTGTTTTTTATATGCTTATTCCCTTTCTGGTAGCAGAAGCCTTCCTTCCACAGAGGTAAAGGATTTTAGCTACAAAGAGAAGAGCAGAGAAGGGAAGGGGTTGACAGCTGTGTTCTTTCACCAGACCTGCAAACAGTTGATGTGATGTGTCGTGATGTGTCCTCCCGGGAAAGAAGTAGGGAGGATATTCATTCTCCTGGGAGTTCGTTCACAGGGAAGGAAATGTGGACTTTTGTACATTCACCATCAGATTCAAGAATAATTATTAAAAAGTACTTCAGAGTCTTATTTTTGTTCACATTGGCATAGGTTTCAACCCATGAAGAAAAAGAAAGGGTCAGATACTTCCCTGATGATGATCGTCTGAGCCTCAGCGATTTAGTCAAGAATGAAAAGATGGGAACAGCAGTGGATCAAAACAAACTTTTTATGAGGATGGCATCGAAGGTGAGATAGATTCCTCGCATACCCTTCAGTTCTGAGAAACTGATTCTTCAGAAAAATAGCACATCTGATAATCTCTAATCTTATTCTATTATAGTAAATCTTTTTATAAGATACACTGGGAAAACACTGAAACACACCTGTGATTTTGTTTGTTTTAAGTGTAGATTCTGATTTGATTAGTTGGGGTCAGAATTTTTAAAAAATTTTTTTCCTTTTTTAATTAAATTTTTGTGAATTTCATACACTATATTTAGATTGTACTTAGATCCCCTTCCCCTATCTGTACCTCCCTTTATGACCCCTGCCCAATTTCATGTAC